TCTTCAGCTCCTGCACAATCGATTGTCATATCGCATACTTGATCGTAATCAATGCACTTTGGACGATCATACTTATGGCACAAATATTTTTTAGTCTTATTTGATTGACAGATATTTTCATACCACACTTCCTCTGAAGAATGATTATCAATTTGCGTTTCAATTCTTTTTTTCTTTTGAAATATAAAAATTTAGAAGTTCATATATTTGATAAAACTTAAAAATTTTAAATTGAGTTTAATGTTTGAAAAAATCGAACTTTATAATTAAATTTAAACTTCTTTTTTTTGCACTTCTTTTTTTTTGTGAAAATACTCATGAAAAAATTCACCATCACATTTGACCATTTCAATATTGTCAATGTAACATTCGGTATTTCCTTTTGATGTTGATGTTGCAACAGCGTTATTTCCTTTTAAGTGACATTCGATCCTAATTCTGGTCGGATGAATGACATGTCCGATATGTACGCTAACTTCCTTCCATCTGCGAAAAAAAAAAATTCATTTCAAAATATTGAAATATGTGCGTAAATCTTTTCTGGCGGTAACAGAAAAAAGTAACATTTGTTTAAATTTGAAATTAATGCAAATGATATATTCCATGAATAATTCAAATTCAACATATTTAGAATAAATACATTTTTGGAGTCTCCGATGTATATTCGTAATTTTAAAACAAATTTAATAAATAAACCTGTCATTTATTTTTAATACAACTCATAAAAACTTCTTAAACCTTGGAAAACGTTACTGCAAGAAAATTATTCATTTTTTTTCTAAAGTGCAATTAAGGAAAACAATTCTTATCCAAACGATCCAAGTTAAAGTATAACAATAAATCCTTGGACTCAAAAAAAGTAAGCTAAATATGCTTATAAGAGCCAAGCAAAGAGGTGATGATACCATTGGGACATCAGAATGTTTACAACAAATAACAGAGTTGCAATAGAATGAACTCATTTGTCCCATACAATTACTGTTATCATTTGCGCTGAATGATATGAGTGCAAAGGTCACTATTCTAAAATTGGTATATAAATTATTTTCCAAACAATCAGGCTAGAAAAATGCGATAAATCAATTTTTTTTGCTTTGATGTAGTAGAAAAAGAATTAATAAGCATTTTGTAAATTTCTCAAAGTTCGATATCCAAAAAAATGCTGTTATTTGAAATTGTATGTAAGAGATTTGATCATACGTTATGCTTGTAATTTTAATATCGCGTATTTTAATTAAATAAAGAATTTAACTAACGAATCGATGTAATTATTTTGCGCATTAAATGTGGAATGCAATGTTGGTCTTGTCCATTCCGTTTCATCTTCATAATCATATTGGTCAGCATAATTAGCTGCTTCATTTAAGGCGCGATGTTGACTGGTCACCATCAGCGTCACATCCGGGTCACCAATTAAACGGTACGTGAACCGGAGCTCACACTATAAATATTCATCAAAAATCCATCTATTCACTATCATTAATCCTCAAAAATCATACATTTTGTTGTTAATTAAAATTTTAGCTAAATTTGAAGTTTAAGATAATGAAATGATCAATGAATAATACCTGAATGGACAAATGTTGATAATAAGGACTAATGATCATTGCTGGTTCTTCACGTGTTTTTGTAAAATTAAAATATGCATAATGTGCTGAAAATTAATTTCAGTGAATTCTTACTTTGCTAATAGCTATTATTTTGCTAATCGCTAATCATTCGTTTGCATTTCTAGCATTAAACGAATTTTAAATCAAAATTCATACTTTGTTTTATTGCTTTTTGTGTATTTTTAATTTTTGGACTATCAAATAAGTTAATAACTTTTCAGTGTTTAAATTTCAGTCAATCTAAAAAGTTATTTTTAAAGAATTTTTTTTTTTGCTAGCGTATTCTGCAAAATAAACATACTTGGTTTTGAATCGCGATTACCAACGACAATTTTAAAATTATGTCTCGGGTCACGTGGATATTTTCGTGCTGGACTCTCGAATATCCAATCACATTTCGATTCGAAATCACATAGCATGCCTATAATTCATTTTTTCGAAATTTCAACCCGAGATGTTTGTGAATTCATCCTCACACTTTTAAATTTCTGAAACATCTAGCTCTTCTTGAAACTTAGTTTTTCTTTTCATGATTCTCAAATTAATCAAAAGTTATGATTACATTGCATTCATTAGAAAATTTTCCAATAAATATTTTAACAAAATTGTCAAAATGTGATTTAAATTTGACAAATTCCATTTTTTTCATTTTTGCTACACTTCAATTTAACTATTTTATTTAATTTATGAAGATTTTTTTAATACAGTTGTAAATTAAAAAGCCGAAGTTTGAAATTTTTAATTAATGAAAGTTAAAGTATTTTAAAAGGTTGTCTTAGCACAACCACCTTATTATTGATTAATGAAAAATTTAAACTAGTTTTTTAGTCTTTATTCAGTTTGAAAAACTTTAAGTTATTGCTATAAATTAGTTAACATTGTTTGTTTTATAAATCAATCAATAATTAGCAATGAAATTAGAAAATATATTTTAATCAATATTTACAATATGTTTTTCGAAAGTCTTGATGGTGAGAAATTTCTAACGTTTTTTAAAAGCTTTATTTGGAAAAAATTTTTTTATAATTAAATAACAGTTCTTGCGAATTTTCGAATTTTAAGAGGTCAAATTTTGGGAAGGCTCCAAAGCGCCTTGTTTACAATTGTAAAAAGTTCACAGCAGTTTTAAATTACACACTTTTTAGATATAATTTGTTTTTATAAAAAAGAAAAAAAAAACAAAAAAAGGATTTTATTGAGAAAATATGTCTTATCATGCAACACAAAATTTTATAAAATTCAATTTTCAAGTTAAAATAATTTAAAAAATGTGTTGGAAATATACAAAAAAAATTAATTTAAAAGAAGAGAATTTTGCGATTGACTATTACCTGAAAACACAGAGCCAATTCCAGAGAGTAAAAATAGTATGATTGACAGTTTAGCCTTCAGCAAATCCATTATGAAATATGTAAATACAAGTGCTAATGTACTTCGGCGTAATTGTCACATTACATTATCCACAGAAATGAATTATCTAGTCTTTATCATAACGCTTAGATTTCTGAATTTTGACTCATTAATTTAACACATTTGTAAAATTACAAATAAACATTTTGCCGATTAAAATAAAGGTGAATTAGAATAACGAAAGCAAAAATTATAACACCTCTACCACTAAAATTAACAATGTATTATTTTTGTAAATTTACAAGTAAATAAAAGGCCAAAATTGCAATAGTCACACTTAAAAAATCATTAAATAATTTGCAAAAAAACTACTTAATGACAACTAATTTCAATAACATATATTGATAAAAAATGTAAGTTAAATGTTTTAAGCTGTTAAATAGGAATTAGTGAAATTAACTAAAATATCACTTATTATAAGAAATTATTCGTGAATAGGAAAAAGAAAAAAAAAATTTCAAACAGTTTCAATGATTGATCGTAACAACTCGTCGTCACATTGGTATACGAAGAAAGAAGTTGTAACATATTTGCTGGTCAATGATAGCATAGCAAAATGAGTAAGTATTCCAACGGCACATAATCTGTCTTCTTCTCCTTCTCCTTCTCCTGGCTTTCAATTGAAATATTTGAGGAGAATAAAGAGAATTTAGAGCTCAAGTTAGTTCTGGCGATATAGGATGGAATGAATTTTAACAGCTGACGCGATCATTCTCAAACGATTGCTAATGGAAATGTTGAAAAATTTTTGCATCTCGTCGAATATACGGCTATCTTCACAATATATTTGGCTAACTTAGTTAAGCAACCTTATCCATCCAACTGTTCTTCTCCAATCATCTCCCAGCATTCTTGTATTTGATAAATTTTCAATGCAATTAATTTTCCTGGAAGAAAAAAAAGAGGAATATATTAAATTCTTAATGAAAAAGAATGGTTAATGCATATATGCAATGAAGATATTATTTAAAAAAAGGGACCAATTTTATTTTAACAATAATCAAACGATTACTAATTACATTTACTATAATTACTGCAACAATTGTTCGTCATTTCCCTATTAATTACTTTCAATTTCAAATGACATATTCCATTCCGTAGGAGAGCTAGTAATTAAAATTATTTTAATTACTATTATTAAATGAATAAAGAGTAAGTATGGTAGAGAAGTTAAAATTATGAAATAATATTGTTGATCAAGTTGATAAATTCTATTTCAACCACGTAGGATAAGGGCCCCGCAATTTTACTTATTATATTGCTAAGTGTGAAATTTCAGTTGTAACTTCTATAATACGACATTTCCCAAGTAAATTTAATTGAAAAGAAAAAGGAGGTTTTCTTTTTTGTTTCGTTTTCATCTTTAGTTATACATAAACCAATGAAAAGTATTTCTCATTCCTGTCACTTATATTAAATCACCTTTTTCCATGGTTTTTTCAAGCATTTAGAAAATCATTTTTTAAATTTCATTACATTCTCGAAAATATTAATATATTTATGAATATAGCAGGAATACTTTCAAGATTTTTCTTCGATATGAAATATAATAATTCATTTTATTATATGATATGTGTATATAGCAGAAGGAGTACCAATCAAATAAGACAAAAGATTGAAATGAAAATGAAAATAAAATAATCGATATCAAATGAAAACGATGGAATGATTTATCGAGGGAAGAAAAATGTTCTGTTTTTTTTGAAAGGAATAATTTTTGGCTACAGTATTTCTTACAAATATTTTTTCTAATTTGACATACAATTCATTCATGAAAAAATAATATACAATAAAAAATTTTTCTCGAACTGTCTTAGCTATCCTGTAATTTCAACATTTTCTATTTTCTTTCAGATTTATAAGTTTTTTTACTGATGTCTTAAGCGTACGTCATTTGGCAACTAATTAACTTAGTCAGTTTAGACATTACACATAATACATTTTTGCAATATATATATATAAATTTAAAGAGGATCTGGTAAAATAACTATGGTAAATATAGGTGAAATACTTTATGAAAAAATATAACAGCATGTGTACCATGTACGTTACTTTCATTAGTTACCTTCGTTACTTTCGTTAGTTACCTTTTATATTACGAATATCGATTTATTTATTATTTTCCAATGCATAAAAAATATAAAAGGATTTTCCTTTCAGTTAGATTTTTTAGTGGTGGAAGATTTCAGTGGTTGGAATTATTCTCAAAATTTACAAATGCTACAGTGTAACTGTTAGAGGAATTCTAATAAGTAAAAACGAGAATTTTATTCCTCAAAAATATAATTTCCAAATTATCATCCCTTTTATGTTTCAGTATTTCTCATCAAAATAATAATCATCCTTTTCGAGGAAGAAAAAAGCAATCTTACGTTTTTGTGACTTTTCTAAACCGATCGATCATTCCAAATGTACTTTAAAACAATAAAAATTATTCATTTTTCGCCGCATTGAAATCAATTAATGAATTTATCGGTTTTTGTGTGTGTTTATGTATGTGTGTATGTGTATGTGTGTGT